ATTGACAGTAGTGTTTCAGCACAGACTGGACTGGTGTCTTACCTTAGCTCCGCCCTGAGTGACTGTCATCAGTCCGCCATTGTTTCACCGCCGGAGCAGATGTAGACAAGAATGACTCATGAGCGATCAAGGTGTTCTGTTGTTGGATGTAATAATGAACAGCAGTCCTCATTTACTCACACAGTGAAGTGGATTACATTGTTTCTAAAGGGAATGCGCCCCCGATCTACATAAATGCGTCTATGTTCGCACGAATCATTCATGATCCAGCCTCATCTACAGAAGAAGCGAGTACACTTTCATTAAGACCCTAAAGAATCATATCAACTTGTGGAAAATGGGCATCCTATGACCCCTTTAAATAAAAAGGCCAATTTTAATTTCTTGTATTTATTTTTTTTGCCAAATTGTCAAGTCACCTTTATTTATATAGCGCTTTTAACAATACAGATTGTGTCAAAGCAGCTTTACAGCATTAATTAGGAAAACAGTGTGTCAGTAATGCAGAAGGACAATAGTAAACACTAATTTTTCAGTTAAAGGCAGTTCATCATTAATTCAGTGATGTTATCATCCAGCTCAGTTCAGTTTAAATAGTATCTGTGTAATCAAGTCAACGATATCGCTGGATATTAAGCATCCCCAACTAAGCAAGCCAGAGGAACCAGAACTCCATCGGTGACAGAATGGAGAAAAAACCTTGGGAGAAACCAGGCAGGTATCTTCTGGCCAGACCTAACCATTGTCCTACAGCAATGTGCATACTGAAAAGTTTTTAAGTCTAAATGTTCTGTATAGATGCATTTTCATGATATCAAAATCAAATAAAACGTGAACACACTGCCTAAAACAGTCTTATTTCAAGCTACAGAATTTAAGCAGTTTTTTTTTTTTTGCTAAACTGAAATGGCAACTTCACTTTTTAACTTTTTATTTACAGATAAGCGTAGTCTAAAAGATGCTGGTTATGAACTGTTTAAATATCTCTTCAGCACATTAAACAGCAGAAGGAATCTCTCAAAGCACCACACATGAAACAGTGAGCTTCTTAAGTGTTTGATACAAAGTATTTGGTTAAGCTCTGTGCAGATGCTTCTCTATAATATTTGAAATGTCTTTATGTAAAGGACTGTATTGCATGGCTCTCTGAAGTGCTTTAATCTGATTCAGAGCTCTGCTATTGCTGAATAATGACCGTTAATTGCCCACTCGTCTGAGAGACTAAAGCTATTCACCATTACAATGTCTGGTCCTGATCACCCTGTCAGGGTTTATATTCATGTTTACATTTTATGTTTTTTTGACATTTAGGTTTGTTTTTCACCCTGTGATTACAGATGCAACCTGAATAATGATGTTAATGATGTTAAACACAATAATGAGTTTTAATAAATGAATTAAATGCAGTAACTGAATATATCAATGGATTTCCCTTGTTTGTTCACCTGTGAATCACATTTGTCCAAAGTCCACTATTATGCAAAGCTAAAACACTTTTTCCATGTTGGAGAGTGTGTGGTTTCCTTCATAACTAGGTTAGAGACTCTCCAGCTCCCTTAAGTCATAGTCTTAACACTTATGAATTTTTATGAATCACACTTACTGTTAAGTGTAGGAATAAGAGCAAAATGACACCATTCTTAGGATTTTGACACTTAATTTGACTCTGAGCAGCTTTATCCATACGACCCCAGAACTACTGTTACAGGGTTAAAGTGTGATCCAAACAGAGTACCATGCCTTATTATAAAAGAGTCTGTACCTTTATGCAAGCAATCTTAGGTTTTATTTTCCTTTTTTTTCTTCAAAAGTTTATTTCTTACATGAATTTTGTTAGTGTTAATTTAAATGTAAATGTAGAAAAAGATCTGACATGGTTTCATTTTTTTTTTACACCTTAAAAAGCTGCAGTCTGCAGATGTTTTATACCCACTGTATGTGTTCAGCCGCCGAAGTTCAGTTCCAGTAACCCTAAGAACAGAGGATGCATGAAGTACCCGGATGTGGTCTTGATATAAAGGAATCCAACATTAGATATCGCAGAAGACTGCAGACCGACGTAGTACAGAAGTCTGAAAGCTTTTATCTTCCTGCTATAAGCTCACAAATATGTGACGGCCTGTGAAAGTGTGACTTTGCTGCAGCCTGAAATTGAACTGCTGGTTTTGTCTGGTCAGAGGAGAACTGGCCCCCCGACTGAACCTGGTTTCTCCAAAGGTTTTTTTCTCCATTCTGTCACCGATGGAGTTTTGGTTCCTTGCCCCTGTCACCTCTGGCTTGCTTAGTTGGGGACACTTCATTTCCAGCGATACCGTTGACTTGATTGCAAATGATTGCAAATATACTATTAAACTGAACTGAGCTGGGTGATGACATCACTGAATTCAATGATGAACTGCCTTTAACTGAAAAATGAGTGTTTACTATTGTCATTCTGCATTATTGACACACTATTTTCCTAATTAATGCTGTTCAGTTGCTTTGACACGATCTGTATTGTTAAAAGCGCTATATAAATAAAGGTGACTTGACTTGACTTGACTTGAAAGTAAACGTTTGTCATTTTCTTTGATGTCATTTTAATGTAGTCATAAAGACTGGGGAAAAACCTGCAGAACATTTTATTGCCATATTAAAAAATTCTTAATGTTGACGCAGCATAAGTAACATTAAATATACATATGTTTACCCAAATCCGCATGGTAAAATAATAATATGAAATGATAATGTAAGTAAATGTTTAATAGGTTGTAACACCTGTGATGTGTTATTTATTGAGCTTGGGGTGGTTCTGTCTCGCTGCTTCACTTGTGCTGGACAACAGGATCACAGCGCGTCTCATTCTCACAAAGACTTATTAAACGTTCTGTGTTCCTTTAAAGGAGCTTGGCAAGATGACAAAAACACAAGTACAATCTTTATGTTCTTAGACTTGAGAAACAGCCTGTGTCCTTCCTCTGCATCTTTGCTAGTTCTGACCCACAATGTAGGGTGACCATACGTGCGATTTTCCCAGGACGCGTCCTGGCCAGGATTTCTATATTGCCTAAAATATCTAGGTTTTGGCTTTATTTGCGTGTGTAGACCGATCGGTGCATGACATCAAAATACCTCGAGAGCATTTTGAAAGCATAAGGAACCGTCTGTATGGTATTTTGATGTCATTCACCGATCGGTCTACACACGCAAACAAAGCCAAAACCTAGATATTTTAGGCAATATAGAAATCCTGGCCAGGACGTGTCCTGGGAAAATGGCACGTATGGTCACCCTACCACAATGCCACAGTTCTGCTCTCAAACTCTGGTCATGTGACCCGTTACTCTACATTTAACTAGACCTTACGTTTAAGAGCCCCTGCATTATTAACCAAAAATTAATGAGGTACATTTTTAATCCGTGTCATATTTATTACATTTTTAGAGTCACTTTTAAATGGCTGATACAACCCAAATAAACATGTTATGACAGAAACAAGCATAAGATCAGCATCTCAGTGAAACATGTTATTGTGGCCGGTACAGTTCACTGACTGAAGGTTGCCATCTAGTGGATAAAGCTTGGGAGTGAGTGTTTGACACTGTGGTGAATGACAGATCTCTAACAACGTAGTCAGACCAGACGGCTGATCTTGAACCGTGTAGATTCAGACTTTCCTCCGCTGTTTTCATGCTTTGTGTCTTTATTAGATCCATGTGTGTCAGAATCCAACAGCCTTGTTCATAGATCTCTGTCTTGTTTTCAGCGTGATTCCCGGCACACAGAAGGTCTGGGTGAGGACCTGGGGCTGCTCTCACAACAGCTCTGATGGAGAATACATGGCCGGACAGCTGGCTGCCAGCGGATACAAGATCACAGGTACACATGCTTTCCTTACCTCGCACTCAAGATTCTGACATGTTCACACTACTGTTAGGAACAGCCTGAACTGAACTGATTGTAAGGTTAGTTTGAACTCCTGCTAGACGGGTGTCAGACCAAACTACACTGATTAATTCAGTGTGTTATTGACTTTGTCTTAATTACTGGACTATAAATGGTTTAGTTACTGCCTCTTTTGCTTCTCATAGTTACAGCTTACTACATTTGTAAAACTAATCTTGTACAATCGTCTACCTAGTGTAACCTAACGTAAGGGCCTGCGATAACGCAGTTTGACCAGTGTGACGCTGCAGTCCTCCAGCAACCCAATAGAAGAAGACACTGTTATGAGCGCAAATAGAGGTGAACCTGTAGACTGTGGGAAAGTTTGACAAAACTACAGACAAAAAATGCTGTCATGAGTGAAGGCCCCAATATACTCACAGTGAATTTCTGTTTCGTTCTTTGCTTCGAGGCAAAAATAAATCTAATGTCAGGTCACGCTTATTTATAAAGCACTTTTATGCAATTTATACAGCTTTATTCTGTTAAACATGAAAAACAGCATAGCTTTCAATTAGACTAGAATAAGATTTTCTGCAATAAAGCAGCTCTCCAATTTGGAGCTAGCTAATGTTAAACCCTTTTGTATGAGTGAATGCAAACAAACAAACAAAAACATTATTACAATAATTATTAAAGTGCTAGTTTGGTTAGCTTGAATAAAGTTTAGGACTGTTTTGATTATCGTGTCAGATATTTTAATAGAGGTAATTCAGGGCTTACTGTCGATATGAAGGATTTCCATCAATTGGAAAAAATGAGTAAAGAAACGTGTAGTGCGTTGTTGTTGTTCTGCCGGCTCAGCTATTCATTTCAGTTATATTCAGTCATTCCACCGAAACAGCTGGCCCTTATCCACACAATCACTTCTGAGAGGGGGGTATTAGCCTTGTTAAAAAACAAGAGTTTATGTATTAAACTAGCATGTCAGTTATGGAAGCGCTGCTTTTGGAGGACGGTTCGGATTAGGGGTGTGCGATATATATCGTCTGCAATATCGTAATTGTTGTTTTAACGATGTGCGATTTGACATTGAGTATTTTGCGAAACCATTCAAAACACCCCTACAGAGCACACGCATACATTACGTGAAGTCTAGACACATTTAGAGTGTGTTCTTTCACTGCATGATTCAATACATTTACAATGATCACAAAATTCAAGATATGGGGACAGAAAATTTATATATTTATATCATTTCATTTAGTTAATCAATATCACACAGAGTTTTTTTTTTCTCCAAAAATTACTATGATTACAAATGTAATATTGATTTTTTACAACAGTTCAAAAAACTATAAGTTAATTGAGACAACATATTGCCTGTTTTTGTGCTATTTCGACAACAAAAATAATTCCAAACAGCCACAGCACTGTTTTGCGTCTGTGAGTCTGTCTCTTTAACCTATAGTTGTGCCGGCGCCAATGAAGTCATGCAGTTAACGCGCTTCTCATTCAGTATTAATGTGCGTCTAGAACGACTGCAGATGAGGCATTAAGTGCATGGCACTGCGACCAACTTAACATTTTACAGAGTTTAATGTAGCAATGTGGTCGCTCCGTTTTTCTAGATTTGTTTTTATCGTGTAATAGATTTGAACAAATCAAGTGCTATGCACATGTATTGGCCATGACTTGATTGCAAATACAAATACAAATACAAGAATTAGACGAGTTGCTAATTTAAAGAATCACCCCTTTATTTAAGTATATAAACACAGGAAACCGCTGTTAACAGGTTAATGTAACGTTTCCCTTTCCAACTTCCTGTCTGTATAATATTGAACATGGCTCTTTTCAGAGTAGCTGCGTCTTCTTGTTTGACAGCCGTCAAGATCTCAACAGCTGTTTATGAGCACTATTTATTCATATCACGCCTTTAAGCTAAGCTTTAAAAATTCAGTGTTCAGTACTTTCTCTGGGCTTACGGCGTTCAGGACACCAGTATTTTAACCATTCAGAAATAATGAATCACCGTTTGACAAGCCACTCATGATTTAGATAATTTTTCAGTAGTATTACAGCACGCTGTGAGTGTATATTAGCATCGTTTGTTGTTTGCTTTTGGGATCTGAAGGAGCGCTTGGACACGGACACGTACTTGACTTAGATTGCAGTTATCAGAACATGAGAACTACGGATCACATTAGACCCTGGCAAGGTCACAGTTCAGAGCACACAGATGTTGAATCAAGCACAGATGTGCTGTGTGCTCCATCAGGCTCAGAGAGCGTCGACCGCTTCAACAGTCCACCTTTTATTGAGCTGTGTGTGTCTTTCCACATCATACCCATTCATCTGAACTCGAAGTGTAGTAACATGCTCCTGACCTAAATTGTGCCAGAATACAGTATGAATACTTATGCAATGTAATTATTTCAGTTTTTACTTCTCAATAAATTTGCAGAGTTATCACATGTTTATTTTTTGCTATGTTATTATGTTGTATGGAATGTAGATTAATGTGGAAGAAAAAGTAATTTAAAGCAGTGTACAAGAAGGCAACATGAAATTGAATACTTTTTATAAATTGAATACTTAAATCGAATACTTTTGCAAAGTCTGTGTTTACACACACAAACACACACAAAACATAATTTTATCGGGGCAAAAACAAAAGTGTTGCGTTTATAATTTTGTTCAGTGTATAAAGATATAAATATATAACAAGCAGTATTATGTACGTGTCATAAGTTTATTTCACACACACACAAAAAATACACATACAGGCTTTATTTATACACACAGACTGCATTTATTTTAAAGAATGTACGTCATCCTCTTCTAAGAATCTGAACCATAGGTTAACCATAACCCTAACCCATCTGTAGGTGGCAGTATTGACCAATCAAACGAGCTGCGGTCTTTCTGTCCCTGAATCTCTCTCTGTGATCGTCAGGCTTTGTCTTAAAGGCAGCAGTAATGGAAGTTTGACCCCAATCATGAACATAGTATTTCCTTTAAATGTTTAAGTGCTCCTTGTTTTATGGCGTTGGGAGGGATTTACTGTACTTTTTTCCACACAAACTTTATTTATTTGCTGTTCCAGTGGGAAAAAGATTAATAACATGCACATGAAATGTTGCATGTAAATTAATAAATGCATTTTCACAGTTGTTTTTCTGTAGGGTGTTTTCAAACTATAACATCTGTGTGCTTCGTTTAATGTTTTCCTGGAATTAAGTGTTTTGACGTATTTGTCTGCCTGTTCATTCATGAAATAGCCCGTGCTGGCAGCGCTGTGAGTGGCTGAGCGTGGTTTACACAGCGCTTCTCGTCTGCCAGCGGTGGCCAATGAAAGCGTGCGTCTGCTGTGACGCTCTCAGATTCAGAGCTGACCGCTGCTGTTTGTGCAGCTACCGCTGTTCCTCCGAGTCCTCGACGCCGGGAGAAATGTTCAGCGCTAGGACAAGCCTTGTGTGCTGCTTCCCACACCTGGAGAGAGATGCAGAGGAGGACTGAGGGAAAGCGTGGTGGCATCGGCTCCTGACCAGCGTGAGCTGTACTTCACTGGAGGTTGTGAGCAGCTGCGCAGATGAGACTCTTCCAGAAGAGAAGACGAGAGGAACACTGGACAGAGCCGGAGGCTCAGATGCTGATTTAGGGCCAGTTTGGAAGCTGCTTCGCTCCATGTCTCGTAGAGAAATGTGTCGAGTGGACTAAATATCTGTGTTTGCATTTCACTCTGTGTTGGTTTTATTCCCAGCTGATAAACTTCTATTCAAAATAAAGTATTGACAGGCTTTTTAAATAGTAATGCACAATATTGGATTTAACTGATTTAATTTAATTGAGCTGATATCGATATATGCATATTTCTTTAAAACTTGTTAGAGCTAAATAAACATAATTAAATTCCTTTATGAGATATGAGTGTACATTAAATAAAACATGGAAATAAATTTCACTCACTGCAGTTTTCTTCAGACTGATGCAGTGGTTATCCAGACGGTTTATTTGTGGATTTAACTCTCGTCGATGATCTCCAGCAATGCACTCATCAACACTTTGAAGCGTCGCTGGCCTTCAGCCTCAGAGAAAGTTGTTTTAGAGCACCTTTGATTCAAGTTATTTTAATAATCCATTAAATAAATTATTTTACACATTAATAAAGAAATAGTGTATGTATAAAATAATATAATTTACAAATGTCATTTACAAGTGTCACTAGTGAGCACTGATGTTTTCACACACCGCACGCCTCATCCTGCACTTGCATTCTCAAAATCAAGCTGGAAATGAGTCTAATCACCATTCAGACAAGAGTTCACTTCAAGCATGACCTCTGTTGACGTGATGTTATCGCTCATGCACACATGTGAGTTATGCATCCTCCGCTTTCTGACCCTGCATAGACAGCAGCACAACTGCCACCTTCAAGGCCCAGAAACATAATATGTTGAAAATGATTTGATTAGTAGATTGTAGATGATGTAGATTTTGGAAGTGCAGATCTGTGCTCACTTGATTGTGTGATATTACCCACAAGCCATTGTGCTTTGGAAGAGGATTCATTTCAGAACTACAAACATGCCGGATGTGAGTAAATAATTAATCAATATCTAGCCTCATGGAGTAGTGGAAATGGAATGTGGATTTTAACTGTAGCTAGATGAGTGAAAGGCTGGTTTATGGTGACCGTACACATAAATAGGTGACAAAGCAGTTTGTTGATTCAAGACACAATTTTATGACATTTATGACATGGTTCCATGTCCCAAAGCTTGCCTACTCTTCAGCTACACTCAAAAGTATCTAGTATTTTTCTTGACAAAAAGAGTGCTTACTTTTAGGGTGTAAACAGCACCTATATTCATCTTCAGTGTGTCCCAGTGAGGTTTTCATCCGATGAGTCTGATTTCTCTTTCCATGACCTGCTCTTCACCCTCAACCCCGTGAGCTCAGACCCTGAATCATGTCTCTGGAGAGGAGAG